TTTTTTTTTTTTTTTTTTTTTTTTTTTTTTTTTTGTTGTTGTTGTTTGTTTGTTTGTTTGTTAGTTTTGTGGTTAAACAACAACCCAAGTGAATGCTAGGGGTGCTGATAAGAGCAGGCACCACTAGCTCTCTAACGGCAGTCTCCAAATTAAGTACCTGGAGCACAAGCCTGAGAAACGTGAGCCAGCGCTTCTTCGCGCGGGCTCGCTTCAGCACTCGCTTCTCAGCAGTTTTGCTGCTGGCTGGCATGTAGAAAGGAAGGAAAAAAAAGGGTGCTCGTTCTGTTTTTTTATTATTATCTTTAATTTTTAGTTTTTTGTTTGCTTTTTGTTTGTTTGTTTGTTTTTTGAACTTTTTTCAGATCTGCGCAGGAGAGTCCTGCAAAGTAGGCAGTGGCAAGCCTGTACTCCGACAAAAATTGGCATGCACAACGGCTTGTGGCGGGTCTCGCTCTGCCACTCTTCTCTCTCTCTCTCTCTCTCTCTCTCTCTCTGTGTGTGTGTGTGTGCTTTCGTCGGATGACCATTTGAAGTGGCGCCACAGCAAACCAAGCCAGGCTTCCATTTTCTATTTTACCCAGCCCATGTGGCGGAATGGTACACCTATTCACCTGTTGAGAAAAGTAAAAAAATAAAAAAATTAACCTGTTGAAAGTTGAGACACAGAGATGAGTTTGAATCCTGGTTAACTAAAATGACTTTGAATTACCTAGGGCTGGCCAGTTCAATGATCACACCTTAAGGCTGTCCTTTCTTCTTCTTCGTCGTGGTCGTCTTCGTCGTCTTTTTTCAAAGGGCGATGGCCTTGACTCTTGAGATATCATCATGTCGAAGTGACCGGCCTTAGGGATTTCAAAATTGTAGTATTTCACTCATCTGCTTGCAGTGGAGTTTGAACTCGGGTCCGTATTTCAACAGCTCAAGGGTGTACCAACTGAGCTAGGCCACCCCTTCTTTAAAAAAAAAAAAAGATTCAAATTTCAACCAAAAAAAACAACAACGTTTTCTGTGTGGTTCCGATAGTTTTCTGTTTTTCTTTTTCTTTTGTTTTATATGACCGATTCCCCTTGTGTGGTTCAATCTGAACAGATGTTGGGACCTCGGCTTCTTTGACATCGGGATGACAGACTGCATGCTTGGGAGTGCTCGCTGCGAGGGCGTGGATCACATGGTCAAGCATGTGGGACTCTCACGGGCCATGTCGGTGCATCAACCTGTGGGAAATGGCCACATCACATTTGCAAATGTCTTGCCAACTGCGGACACAGAGTGGGTGATCCATCATAGCCGACGGAGTCGTGGCCCGGTTTACGCATCTGCTTTACGTGGTTGCAGTAGGAGGTGTCCACGGTCAGCGAGTGCGAGGTGCTTCCGCAACGTTGGCGTCGACCAATTGTCAGCAACTGCTGACCGTGCGGACGGCAGCGCATCGCTTGCCGACAAGAGGTGCACGGCATTTGCTGATGCCGGGTTCAGGGTCCGGGTACGACTTGGTAATTGTAGCCATTCCTCCCCCTCCATGCACGTCGGGCGTTTGTCGACGTCCTGTCACTGTTCGCATGGCGCTGCATCACTTTGGGATAGGAGGTGCAGGGCATTGGTCGGTGCCGGGTTCGGAGTCCGAATCGGCGGTCATCGCCATTCCTTTCCTTCCCGGCAGCGGGCGATAGAGGACAGATGTTGTTTGCAGGAATGCCCCTTTCCCTTTGGTTTTTCTTCTCCTGCTTCCCCCTCGTCGCGCTCTCTTCCTCGTCATGCTCTCACAACCCCTCTTGCTCACTCTCTTCTGCACCTCCCATATTGTTGCCCTAACTGTGTTGCGATGCTTCACAGAGCTGCAAACCGCCCAGTATGTCAGCCGCAGATGGCCACCACGGTCTCCGCTGCCTCGCATCCACCACGATTGGCGGTGTCCAGGTGTCGTAGATGGTCCCTTCTTCACCCTTCTTCCCTCGTCGACGGACCCTGGAAAACAGCGGGCCGGCTTCCGGAATGTCTGTGCCGATCCCACCTGCTGGTAGGGAGGGACCGAGATATGGCATCCGCCGCTGGTTGTTGCTATGATGACGTGAACCGTAACTCGTGCGATCTCGGCGATTACATGAAGCAGAGGACTGGTCGTCGTAGTCATCCTCTTCGCCGGATTGCGAGTGTCGCAGCGGCTAGAAGACCCACCATGTGGACTGAGGAGGAGGAGGAGGAGGAGGAGGAGGAGGAGGAGGAGGAGGAGGAGGAGGAGAAAGACAACGGACGCCGGGAGATCTCAAAGACGTCTGGGTCTCTGACGCAACTGATTGTCTTCACAGCGGCTGGTATGGCCCTTGTGAGTGGGGCTCTTGCTGTCATTGTCTCTGCGACTGCCTTGTGGATCCCCGTCCTTCTCCTCGGGGCACTGGTGGTGGGGACCACCACGGCCGTGCTCTTCCTCGTCATTCTCCCTGTCTTCCAGTTGTTATTGTTTGCCCTGTTGTGCATGATTGGAATTCCTATTGTTGTGTTTGCTCTGGCGCTCGTTCTGGGGACAGGTGCCTCCTCCCTTTTCCTGCCAAGCTGGGCAACTGCTTTGTTCGTCGTGCGACCGGCTCTGCAGGTGGTTGCAGCACGGTTCCTCGTCAATTCAATTCTGGTAGGCACATTTACCGCGGGAGTCTGGTCGTACAAGAAAGCAGTTGCTGCCGCCAGCTCCGCGCAGGAGCGTCGTCAACGGCTTCGAAAACCAGGTGGAAAGGGGGGAGGAGGGAAACAGCGGAAGTCGAGGAGGATCCTTTATGGATCTTCTGACATGGCATCTGATCAACAGTCCACAATAGCCGTTCGATGGACCTTGGTCACATTAGTGAGCCTACTGCCGGGGGTGCACTGGCTGGCTTGGCCAGTAGCCATCATCCAAAGTCGGAATTTTCGGTCTTTCACAACTGCAAGAAGATCTGCGTTCCTGTGGAACGGAATTGCTTACGCCGCACCGCTCGTCGTCTCCCTGTTGGGAGTGACGACAGGTGGCATGACCTCCGCAAGCTGTTTGACTGGTGGAATGATCGGTTGTGGACGGGTACTGGGGGGAGGAGTAGGAGTAGGTGGACCCGGTTGCTTGCTAGCGCTTATCTTGGGATTGATCCATCTGCAGCTTGAGAAACGTCGAGTGCAGTTGGAGGAAGAAGAAGAAGAAAGGCGTCGTCGCCGTGCCCTCGCCGACGTTGACATCGCTGCGAACAACCTTGAGACCGACAGGGTGGCGCGGGAGAAAGAGCTCCTGGAGTTTGACCGGCGACTAGCCAGTTCTGGCACACCATCAGGAGACCCTCGAGCCTGGTCGGCGGCGGAAGTGTCCGTTTGGTTGGAGAGCAAAGGGTTCGCCAAGTATTCCGAAGCGTTCTTCCAAAACCGTGTGGACGGCAAAGTGCTGCTCACCGTCACTACGACCGAACTCAGAGACGATCTCGGTGTAACCGCTCTTGGAGACAGGAAGCTTCTAGAAGGTTGCATCACAGAGCTCAGGTCCGGCTGCAGACCGGCACAGGCTAGCGAATAGTCGGGGCCCGCGTGCACATGGGTAGCAGCATCTGCAGTTTCATGTGGTGAGACCCCCCCTCCTCCCCCCCGGTTCGATTACATGCATGGTCAATTAAAGGGCCAATCGGAGGGGAGGGAACACGTCAGCCATGCAGATTCGCGTAATGAGCCGAAAGACGCGAATGGGCAATCCTCCACCACCAGATCGGTGGAGCGGTAATTGATGATGACAACAACAATAGCCCTGACAGTTGAGCAATGGGTGAACACAGGGGCACGTCTGAGTTGCTGCAGGGTGGTTTTGGTGTGTATAAATGCTAGCCAATAGCGACGAACAACTGATCACCATGCGTAGCCGAACTCTTGCCACGTGGGTGGATCTCCTAGGACCTCTTTATCTGATCCCACGTAGTAAGGACCCAAATGAAGCACGATCGCCCCGGAAACGACTCGAAGTGGAGCGGTGGGTGGCTTGGTGGGTGTGCATGTGTCGAACAGACCAGTGCTGCCGATGGTGACGAAAGCAGTCTTGAGTACATAGGGGTCTCTCTATCTCTCTCACACACACAACACACAACACACACACACACACACACACACACACACACACACACACACACACACACACACACACACACACACACTCCTGCTGAGAAGTGGTTACTGCTCTGTCGAGGGTGGCTGTCCCAGCTCCCTCTCGACTGATCCGGTGTGCATTAGTTCTCCTTGCCACCTTCTCCGGATGGTGCTCCAAACAACCAGTCCGTCATGTACAAAGTGTAAATGCCCATTCTCCCCTTTGATACGTGTACCACAGTGTGTGTACATGCGTAATGTACGTGCCGCATCCTCGCCTTTTCCATGCACGCACGCCATCCGTATCCTTTCCATGTACGTACATCATCTTTCTTCTTCTTCTTCTTCTTCTTCTTCTGCTTCTGCTTCTCTGCTTCTGCTTCTGCTTCTGCTTCTGCTTCTGCTTCTGCTTCTTCTGCTTCTTTCTTCTGCTTCTTCTGCTTCTGCTTCTGCTTCTGCTTCTGCTTCTGCTTCTGCGTCTGCTTCTGCTTCTGCTTCTGCTTCTGCTTCTGCTTGCGCTTCTTCTGCTTCTGCTTCTTGTGCTTGTGCTTGTGCTTCTTGTGCTTGTGCTTGTGCTTGTGCTTGTGCTTGTGCTGCTTCTGCTTCTGCTTCCGCTTCCGCTTCCGCTTCTGCTTCTGCTTCTGCTTCTGCTTCTTTCTTTCTTTTTCCCTTGTCCTTTTCATGCCTTGTAATAATAACCAGATGTGTAGACAGTGACAGATAAAAAAATTGCCGCTGGGTCATCCATTGATGGTTGTCAGGTTGTATTTGATGCCGAAGTTCGCAGCTGGCCGAACGACCCAAAAAAGCATATGCAGTCTTCTTTACGAGATAAGCGAGAGCTTGCGTGGATGGAAATTCTCATTGTTGTTGTTGTTGTTGTTTTCTTTTTTAAAGTTTTTTTTCTTTATTCTTTCTTTCCCCAGTTGAAGAAGAAAATTCCAATTGGCTGTAGTACCAATACTTCTAAATAATATCATTTGGATTATAGTTGTTCTACCTCCTCCAGGAGAAATTGCAAGCAGGGAATAGACGCCTACTCGCACGCGGAAATCTTCCAAAAAATCGACTCTTGTAAACAGGTACCAGGCTCTCGACAAGTTAAAAGTTCGATTCTTGCCTCAACAGCTAACAGACTCACTGTTACATGCCCAGTTGGGCGATGTACATGTAGAACCGAGGATCCGCAATGTGATAAAAAGGACTGAATGGACAATGCAATGCAAGTGGAATCTCAACAAGCAATGTGCATTCCGATACATACAAAATGGTGCTTGATAGCGCAGGGAAGACTTAGATACAGATCCTGACCTGACGGGAACTGACCTTTACCACGTAGTGCAAGATAGCGCAGCAGAATACTAGAACACTAATGACTAGCCCAATCAATGTTGCAAAGCAGACCAAACATACATCATTCTCACCACACGGTGTGAAGGGAGGCTGGCGCTATACACAGGAAGAGGGGGCCAGGTCCATTTCATGCACAGACGAAGAGGAGAGGATCAGACGGAGAAGAGGAGGGGAGAGATGGGAATGTCATCCGCAACAAGTCTTCGTTACAAGTCCCAAATAATCCCTCGTCAAAATGTCTGAAGTCCAATGTCGAGTCTGGATCCACATGTCACCAAGCTCTCTCTCTCTCTCTCATAGTCTGGTGATGCAGTGAAGTCAGATATCGAGAGGGTGAGAGGGAGATGGTGGACTGAGAAGAGGAAGAAGAAGAACTCTCTCTCTCTCTCTCATATGCCAGGTACTAACCTGTGAAGGTGGCGCTGGGCTGCAGGTACCTTGAAGACGAAGCTGGAGTGATGGCGCTGTAGGTAAGTCCCTCTGGCCTCCGCCCAATCTCTCTCTTTCTCTATGGTACTACTCTAGCTATGGCGCCCAGCGCTGAAGACTACTGCTAACGCTACAAAGCTCCCAGCGCTGAAGACTACTGCTAGCGCTAATACTACTCCTGCAGCGCTCCTCCAGAGTGCTGCTGCCGAATCCTGAAGACTACCTCCTGCCTCCTCAGCTGCACGTGAAGTGCCTGGGAAGTACCTATGAACTACCTGCCGGCCTGCAGGGCGGGCCAGTCCTATATAGTGCTGGCCCGTCCGGGAGGCTGCTCTTGCCAATGCCTCAACGTGCCAGACCCTGGCGTTGAAGCTCAAACAAAGGTTGTCTTGAAAATAGGCCAGAAATGGCCTGAGCTAAAACCCTGGTCTGGTGCTTGAGTTTCGGGGCAGGCCGAACTCATGAGGGCCCGGAAATGGCCCTCAGTTTCAGGCTGAAAACACTCAGGCCCGGACAGCCCTGATTTAGCCTGAAACGACACACGGCCTGTAGGCCCTTGTTTTCAGGCTTTCAGGCTGAAATGACACAGGGCCTGTAGGCCCTTGTTTTCAGGCTTTTGGCCTGAAAACGTCACGGGCCTGGGTATGGCCCGTGCAGCCTGTTGCGGGCGCAGCATGTAACACTCACAGACTTCCGATTCTCATGTCAAAAAAAAAAAAAAAAAGGTAACATAGTAAACATAATATTTTGAAGTTGTATGGAGGTTTGAACTTTCGTACTGAGGACACAAATACTTCTTTTTTTTTTTTTTTTTTTTTTTGCAACAACAGAACCTCACGGTTCTGGCTCCTACCATTCTGGGGACACAAATACTATTTATAGTTTCATATTAGGAATTCTGACGAGAAGTTTTAATTCCTTTTTCACAGTCTTTAGTACTATTCTGAAGTCGTATGGAGGCTTCAACTCTCGTACTCAGGACACAAATACTATTTGTAATTTCGATTTACTATTACGAACTCTTACGGAACGGTAACTCTTTTTTTACAGTCCTTGGTTAAACTTACGAGAAGTTAAACTTTTTTGTTATGGGTGTGATCTTTACAATACTTACGAGAACGTCGAGAAGTTAAAACTTTTATTTCGCAGTCTTTAGTACTATTCTGAAGTCGTATGGAGGTTCAAACTTTTGTACTCAGGACACAAATACTATTTGTAATTTTGTATTACTATTACGAATTCTTACGGGAGGGTAACTCTTTTTTTACAGTCCTTACTACTCCCTAGTTATGGATGTGATCTCTACAAAGGTTTGATTCCGTTTGAACTCTCGTACGCAGGGCACAAATACTATTTGTAGTACGAATTATGGATTCGATTCTTACAAGAGGTTGACCCTTTTTGTTTTCTTTTTCTTTTTCTTTTTCTTTTTTTTTTTTTTTTTTTTTTTTTTTTTTTTTTTTTTTTTTTTTTTTTTTTTTTTTTTTTTTTTTTTAAGCCCGTGTGTAAGCCCTCCATTCCGGCGGCGGTGGTAAGAGAACCGTCCAGTTTTTTTTTTTGTAAGCCCCTGTGTAAGCCGTCCATTCTGGCGGTGGTAAGAGAACCGTCCAGTCCTTAGTTATAGCTGTGATCTCTACAAAGGTTTGAACTCGCGTACGCAGGGCACGAGTACTATTTGTGTAACGAATTCGTACGAGAAGTTTACTCATTTATTACAGTCTATGGTTTTGGATGTGATCTCTGTAATGAAGCATCTTGTTCCTTACTGTGGGCCTCGATCCACCGCCCACCACATGCACAAAAGACAAAAAAAATATGGTGGTGTAGCTTTGCATGTTCTAGCAGAAGATTCATTCTCATGGTGCACATAAGGTGAGTAGTGGAGCGAGGCCCTTGTTCCCAGGGGGGAGGGTAGGCAGAGATCGTCAGTGAAATGAGGGAGGAAAGTGCTGTCCTTATCTTTTTTTTTGTGTGTGTTCCTTCGAAGAGTCTCTCCAGGCTGGAGGGGAGGCAGAGATCGTCAGTAAACCGAGGGAACTCTTGCCCGACATTGATGTTGATTGGCGCGTCATGATTAAATGGCGACAGCTAGGGATTCAACTCTCCCAGGTCAAACTCACTGCTTTTTGGCGTGTTCTACCCACCCTAACAGTACCAAAAACATGCTGGTTTACTTTGGCTGATTATGCACAATGCCACTCCCACTGCTGCTTTTTTTGTATCGTAGACGGAATAAAGGCTCCCCTTTTTGCACCGTTTGCTCCACAGGACGTCTTGTGGAAGACCAACAACACCTTTGGGTTACATGCAAATACGCTCGAGAAGTGTGGACAATACTTAAAAACGCCGCTCTCCTCCCTCATCATCACGGGGATCTCTGGACCAATGATGCCATTCTTTTTTTTTTTTAAATATCGTGTGGTCCGATGGACCACGGATCAGATATTAAATTGATCAGAACAGATACTACACTTGATCGTAGCCAAAAGGCCGAGAAAGGTACAAGGAATATTAAGAATGCCATTCTTCTGGGTACTGTACTATTGTTTTTTACAAAACCACAAGCTTATGTATACGTAATGCTGTGGTCAGAAATGGCGAGCCTCCTTCAGTTCAGCAAGTACTTCATCGACTGAAGACCGACCTTCGGCACATCATCTGCCTGGATTGGGGCAAAAAGATTGGCCAAAGATGAAACTTGCATGCTGGGGTCATGTGGTTCCACCGTCATTGGGCCTGCAATCCCTCCTTGGCATCCATTGATGCCTGCACCGGATATTTCCAAATTCGGCTCTTTCCCACAGTAGATCGACTCTTTTGCTCCTTTTTTTTTTTTTTTTTTTTTTTTTTTTTTAACTACACTATGTTCTTCTCTCAAATTCTTTTTCGCCTTTCACTACCTTCGTACCACTACTCCTAAGACTATTGCTAGATTAGGAAATGTAATTTCCTGTGATTGTTTGTTAGCATTACGATTTCAAAAAAAAAAAAAAAAAAAAAAGAAAAAAAGCATTACGATTTCCTTTGACTTTTCATTGAGCTGTCACAGGGGAGGGGCTCCATTGTGACATGAAGCAGGTTGGAGACCTAACGTCCCCTGAATCTGGAACCTGGGGCAAGGTCCCACTTGCGCAAATTAGGAGATTTCGGCCGTTGATCTTTGCTATCTACGGTCAGTATCTCTTAATTCGTGCAAGTGGGACCTAGCCCCTGTACCATTGTATTTCTGGCCTTGGGCACTGGGCCCTAATAAAAAGATGAACTGGAAAAAAAAAAAAAGGAAAAGGACAAGTGCAATTGGCAGAAAAAAAAAAAGGAAAGCGGAGGCAGAGATCGGCAGCAAAACGAGGGACTAAAGCGCTATCCTTATCTTCTTCTTTTTTTTTTTTTCTTTTTTTTTTTTTCAAAAGTCCCCGGGTGCATCTTTTACTGGGATCGATAAGGGAATCCCCCCAGTAGGTGGCTTCTATGTTTCAGACAGCTCCAGTCTATTAGTGTGGAGCTGCACCTGCTGGAAACCGGGTCCAGCATCGGGCCCAGTGTCCCACATGTACGGTAGTTGGTATTCCGGAGGGCTCTTGAGCACAGACTGGCGGCGACTGGAGGCATGGCTTGCCCTTTCCAAGGCGATTGACTGCCCATCTTTTCTTTTCTTTCTTTCTTTCTTTCTTTCTTTCTTTCTTTCTTTCTGTTTTTTTTTTTTTTTTTTTTTTTTTTAAACCACCACTACCTTTCACAGGCAAAGGGGCGTACAGTGCAGAGAAGTAAGGACTTTCTGGCGATGGTGGGCCTTGGCAGCGCCGGAGGTGTCCCCACTAGCAGTCATGGAGGATGGTGGGCCTTGGCAGCGGTGGAGGTGTCCCCACTAGCAGTCATGGAGGACGACCTAGCATAGATTCGGCTGGGCGCCCTGGTGGTGTTTGGCAGGGAAGACAAGGTAGAGCTATACACGATGGAAGTAACGAGAGCTGCCCTGCTGTAATGGGCAATATGGA